ATGGGGGCAGGGGTGATCGGCAGCCTCTTCATGGTGGTTATCGTCGCGCTGAGCGTGGCGGTGTCTGTGCGCCGGAACAACATCAAGAAGAAGCGGGCCCTTCGTCGCTTCTTGGAAACAGAGGTGAGTGATGTCCTCAGTCTCGGGTATTCACTTAGCTAGTCTTCGGAAACACAGGATGCCGTGACGGAGGCTGTGACAGAGATGAATGCCGCTAAATGCTCTTTACACTTGCTCAGATTAACAGTAGTCACTGCCCCAAGACAGCTGACATCCCGACCCTCCTGAGGATCAAGCTGCTCGAATAAAGGATGATTTATATATCCCGTATTTTCCACACTAAAAGGCGCACTGGATTATGAGGCGCACCTTCAACGAATGGCCTATTTTGTAATTTTTTTTCATACATTGGGCGCACCGCATTACAAGACGCAATCTAAAATGCATCCACTCGATGGAGCTATGCTCGAGGAAACTCCAACAGAACGATCAGATGTCAGTAAAATGACCATTCACAAGGTGCAACGGACTTTAAGGCGCGCTGTGAGCTTTTAAGAAAATGGCTGGCTTTTAGGTGTGCCTTTTAGTGCGGAAAATACGGTAACTATAAAATCACACGGACTTGATAAATTTTACATTTGGTGAATCAAAAACCCTACTATAACTAGTACTAGTACTAGAATCACTTGTTTCCCCTCAGCATCTGACATCCGATTATTGCACTTAAACAATGCACTTCCTAACTTTAACCCACAATAATAAATACACACACACACACACACACACAGACACATACACACCCAGGAAACTGGTCGAATTCATGTACTATGAATGTATAGTTTGTAATTATACCATTTAAATTATACACTTTATTTTCCTTAGAATCCTGTTTTTTTTTTTTTTTTTTTTCTCTCTCACTCTCTCTCTTAGTGAGGGGCTACAGGATTCAGTTTATACACTAGATTCAGTGACCAAATGTGGTCATGGTCGAAGTTTTACAGCAATATTTCACAAACAGTGTACAGTCACCTTGTGAATTCTTAACCAAACTAACAAATGCTTGTGGTGCAGGATTTTGCAGTGAGAGAATATTGTTTGGAAACGGATGCGTGCTCCCGAGGCTTGTGCGCATGTGCGTGAGTCTGTTCTTATACAATTCATAAAATGCTTCCTGTCGCTAACCCGGAGGCTCAGGTAGACCTTTTAGCTTTCTTCACAATACAATGCTGTTATGAAAAGGCACCGGGATGGCAACATTAGTTGAGGAAGGATCTTCTCAGAGTGTGTTCAAACAGGAAAAGTGCACTACTGGCTGGGATTTTAAGGCACTCAATTGCCCACGTGCAAAATTAGGTCTGGTAGTTTGCGCTCTTTACAGTAGCTGGTCCAGCGCTTCGTGCGCATGCAAAGCGGCAGCGCTGTCGAAACACTACCATTGCGCTTGCTATTACAACCTCCTATTCTGGTTGTCACAAAGACACTCGCGTGTCATTTCACTCTGTTAGGAGACTCCCCATATACAGAAAAACCTGTACGGGTGCTTCATCCACGGATTATCCATCAAGAGGCGGAGATTGACGAGAGAGTGGATAATGGCGGACGTAGTCAAAGGGAAGCAGGCGGTTGAAGGAGGAGTGGGGTTGAGCAGTCAGGGAGTTGAGCACAGGTGAACTTGCAGAAAGTCGGGGCGAAAAGTAGGCAGGCATATAATGAACTGAGAACGGTACAAGTGTAACCAACAAAGAGTGATTAAAACAAAAAAAAAAACAGACAGCGACAGACCAAAACTTGCATTTCGCTCATCTGGAGGTGGACATCAGCAAATCATAGTACATAATTAATGGAAGTTTCAAATAATTTTCAAACCACTAGTAAAAAAAATATGATAATAATTTACAGCAGGGGTGTCAAACTCATTTTTGTCGCGGGCCACATTGTAGCTACGGTTTCCCTTGGAGGGCCGTTATGAATTTTGGGAAACCATATAAATGTTTAATCATCTCCACATATTACGTACACAGCGCACAACAAATTGATTTGCTTTTACGGGTCACATAAAATGATGTGGCAGGCCAAATCTGGCCCCCGGGCCTTGACTTTGACACTTGTGATCTACAGCTTGTGTGTTTTTTGTTTTTCGGCGCTTCCTACTGCCCAATTATTTGCAGACTGGTCCTAGTGTGCGATCTGCCGGTTGGAGTCTTTTTTGTTGTGTTTTTTTTTTTTTTTTTGGACTATCTTGCAGTTGAACCCAGGTGCCCCCCCAAAAAAACGTGATGTTTCACATTTCAGCACCACTATTTAGAGTGAGGATGTAGACAGTTCCGACCGCTTTGCGCTGCAGCAGCTGCGCTGGCTGGACAGCTCCTTGCAGCGTACAAGAGCCTGTTGGTTTCAAATGTGATTGTTTGTTTGTGTGCGGTCTCGTACCTCCCTCCAGATGCTGATTTATTATTCCGTTTCAATGAAGAATTGCTATTGTTTTTAATCAAACTGTAACAACCATGAGCCAGAGGGGGGAAACCGGGCTGCCCACCCAAGTCTGTCTGATTTACACTCTGTGATTATCTGCGCTTTCACTTGCCCGCTTTTGAATCTTGGATACTATTTTCCTAATCCTCCTTATATTGCTTCCGTTTTGGGCGCTTTTGCTTCCCCGAGCAAGTCAGCTGCCTGCTTCCTCATTGCTGCCTTCCCATTGTTTTATTTCTATCACCCCCCCCACCACCACCACCACCCCCTCTCTCTCTCATTTCCTCCATCATCTAGTTATTGCTCTACTCGAGAAGTGATGAGAGAACAGTGTGAACTTCAAGTTTAGAGATCCTGTCGTGATCTCTTCCCCCATGTTCTTTTGCCACTTGTTAATGCTGTTCGGTGACGGATGACATCATATTGAGCAGTCACTGTTACGATTAGTTGTACAATGAGTGAGGATTATTTTCTGTTTTCCTCAGCTGGTGGAACCTTTGACACCCAGCGGGACAGCACCCAACCAAGCTCAGCTTCGAATCTTGAAAGAGACAGAACTCAAAAGAGTCAAGATCCTTGGCTCTGGAGCCTTTGGGACAGTGTACAAGGTAAAAATAAAGTCAATTCAAGTGTCATAGTAGTCAGCTGCCTTTGCAAAATACATTTCGACGCATCATCGTTTTGATCAATCCTGAGGAATCTTCAAGTGGAAGAAAGTGAATGGTATTCCCAGATCATGAAGGTCAAGAAATTAGTTTGAAAAATGGAGGCAGAGGGTGAGGAGAATGAGGTAATAGAAACCAGGAAGTCCCATGTGGTCATAATGTAATTAGATGTTAAGTTAAGGAGGGAGCCAGCGTGACACTGGGCATAAAATTGACGACTTCAGATTCATCATTTATCTTCTTTTCCTTATCCATCTGTATTTTTATTTTTTGATCATAATTATGAAAACAAAAATGCAGATAGTCTTCTGAAGAATCATACGATGCCCTTAACGGAAGATTGTTGTCTCAAATTGTCTTTTAGCGTTTTGTCTTATTGCTTCTTTTTGTCTCCTTTCGGATTTTAATAGCAGTGCAATATTTCAGTTTAATAGTGAGGTAAAATTAAATCTGTTCTTGATCATTCATGAACAATTAAAAAAAGCCCATTATTATATATGAGAGTACACGGTAAAAACAAACGGTAGCACCCCATTTAGGACAATTACGACTGTGAACTGTTATGAGCTTGCTGGGAAAAAAAAACCCTGAACGTTTTCACTGAGAAATCATTTGAAATGCAATTCGTTCTCGATTAAATTAAACCTCGCTGAGCAATAATTAGCCCGGCGTATGCCGTTGGACAGGGTGTATCGAACTAAGCGTAGCACTCCTGAAATTAAAGCTGTGATCAGTGGTAGTTTCGCTTTAGTGGAGATGTTAAGCCTGCTGTCATGGTGGGGGTGTTTATAACGGCAGCGCGACGCATTTGAAGCTTGTTGAAAAGTTGAGCGCCACTTCAGTTCTCCCCTCCTCTTTTTAAATGCTTTGACCGTTTTGGCAGCTGCTAAATCACTTTAATCACAGATGAAATTAGATCCTTCAAAATGCCCGTTTTTTTTTTTTTGGGAAGGACAAAATAACTTTTAATCGTTCAGCACGCACTATATCATCATCATACCCACTACCCCCGATGGGATTTGGGATGACAGGTTGAAAGAAAAGAGATAAAATAGGTGACAAGGGTGGTGGGAATGATCAATTTACTAATTGAGATCGAGAGCATAGCCGTTATTTAAGAAGAAAGTGGAAAAAAGTTGTCCGGGAATAAAGCTTTTGGGGACAAGGGGGGGCATTATTGAAGTATTTGCACTGCAGTGACGGCTCCAGGAATTTTTCTCTCCCTGAGCTAAAGAGAGGCATGACCATTATTAGGTGGGCTGAGGAAAAAAAAAAAATGAAATATATTTTGGAATATGAAATAAAAAGCTGGAGGGGCCTAAGTTAGCAACACAGATGGTGCCACCATCAAAAGAACAATTAACATAAATAAATAAATACAATCAAAATCATAAAAACTAATCTAAACAAATTATGCCATATTCACATACACATTCACATTTGTTTTTGTTTTTTTTTGGGAACCGATGCATACTGTAAATCACATTTGGCGCAATTGTGTAAAGTTGCAGAATTTTCAGCAGCACACAAATGTGCCACAGTACAGTTTTAGACTCACTGGCTTCGACGCCATCTCTGTATGTAACTCATTTCAGTCAAATAGCTCACGACAGGCTTCATTTGTGGAACTCACATAATATTCTTTCGCTTTCACCTTATGGAGATGTCATGTCCGAAATGGTTTTGTCCAGACGCTTGTTCCTATCTGGGAACTGAGTGGTTGTGTACCTTACATACACTGATTGAAAGCTGTCCTTAACTGTGATGTTCAGATTCTTTGTCTCATCCTGTGTTTGTTTGTATTTCTCTCTAGGGAATTTGGATTCCTGAGGGGGAAACGGTTAAGATACCCGTAGCCATCAAAATCCTCAATGAAGCCACGGGGCCCAAGGCAAATGTGGAGTTCATGGACGTGAGTAAATAGACAATTTCATGATAGGTTTTTTTTATAGTTTATACTTATATTTATTTGGTAATTTTATATATTCCCTATATAAGGTTTATTGTTTCGATGTACTTCACTTGTCGAAAGTATTGAAATTAAAAGTATATTGTCTTGTACAGGTTATATAGGTCATATGGTGGAAAAGCATTTATCTTAGTGTCATTTTTTTTTAAAATTTACATCACAACAATCTGCCATTCAAACGGGGGTGTAGACTTTTCATACGCATTCACCGGATTAAATTTTTCAAGCATTCGCAGTTCATCTTGTTTCAAAAAGAAAACTGAAAAAGATCAAACTTATTACCCAGTGATGATGCAATGCAGATGAAATGACTCATTAGCACACATACTCATCCTGACACACACACACACACACACACACACACACACACACACACACACACACACACACACAGAAAGTGACCCAGTTGCACTCGCTTTTTTTTTTTTTTTTTTTTTGCACTTACTTTGGCGGTCTAAGAGGAAGTGTTAGTACGAGCATTTCTGTTTTTCATCAGGATGCCTTTGATGAGTACCCAGTGTTTGTTATAATTTATGCTCGGTGTGCTTTGAGAGCTTGTCTTGGCATCCAAGAAGGAGACTAAACAGGATCTTCTGAGGGAAAAGTAGGATAGCCATATGCCGAGTATATACAGTCCAAACATTTTACACAAAAGGGCCAGGTATTATATCGAATTAAGTTGCATTGCTAAACGTTGTTTGGGGGGGGGGCTATAGAGGGACTTTTCAAGTGTTTATTGAGAAATATATTCCGTAATTATGTTTCTCTTGTGTACATTAATTATTATTCGCGCAAAACAGATGTGCATGGATCACTTGGGGACTGTATAAGCAAGGACAGCATTGTGTTTATCACTTAAAGATGTGTACAAATAAAATATACAAAATTCCCCTTCACATATAATTAGTCCACATTTAACAGTGGACAAATAAATCATCGACACAAACTGCTGCCCCGCACGCGATTAACGTTAATATATCTGGCGAGGGGAAGTCACATTATTCATGCAGCCTGCTGACACCAGGTTCAGAGTCACCCAAAAACGCTCTTGGGTCTCAGGTCACAACCGATCGTGGCTCAGCTTCAGAAAACAGGCGAGCCGTGATCGGTTGTTACTTGAGCCCTGAGCAAATGTGATGTCATTTTCAGTTGACAGGAAGTGGCGAAATGGCCGTCCCCCCCCTGAGATGACTAAAAATGGGTGGATTTTGCCGCTTAACTCGTATTCTACAAACACAATATTGATCAGAATGCCGTGGTTAGACTTTTGGAGGCGGGATGGACCCTTTGAAACCAATGTCTGAATATAATGAAACGCAAAAGTATTTTAACAGCCGAGATGCAGTTCTCTTATTATCCAAGCCGTGTGATACTTGCAACATATTAATCCTCTTTTGTGATGTCACTCCTGTTTGGTGTTCACCGGAGCTTCACAAGATGCGTCGTATATCTGTCTGACTGATACGCACCAAAGCACATTAACATGATGCGTGCTGCATGTGTGTTACACTACAATCTGTCTCGTGATGAATTAGCCCGTAATCCCCTGTACACACAGAACTCTACGCTGGGACTGTGTACATAAATGCACGTGTGCATGTTGGCTGATAATATATCGCAGCTTCGTGCTTTGTTTCTCCTTACCACATGTCATTTGAATAAATAACAGGGCCTTGCACAATGTGTAGCAGTTGACGACAGTCAAGGTTATTCATGACATTTTTTTTTTTTTTTTTTTTTTTTTTGACTGTAATATAAAACAGGAAGGGTTGCTCTCAGGTGAACCTGACAATTGCCCATTGGGGCAAACTCTGTTGTCATGTACAGTAGTAGGATCTATTGTGGGAAAATTCAGCAGTTGTGTATTTTTAACATGAAAGAAATAATAATAATAAGTCAAGGATCCCGCGGGACAATCAGCCACTTTGATAAAATCAAATTCTCCACTTTTTGACTTGAGTAAGAACCTTGCTGCTTGCTGCTTCAAGAGAAACTCGAGCCTTAAACAGAATAAGGAACCCTGTGATCTTTGTCAGTTAGCTCTGTACTCGTAAGCTGGGTGAACGCTCGGCGAGTGTCGTGCGAGGCTTTCAACTTTGTGCTTGTCTTTTCACACGGTGATAAAATGACCAATATTTTTTAAAACTACATGGCATGTGCATACCATTGACTCTATCATTGTGAAAAAGAAAACCTCTGCAGTCATTATTAAATTATTTGCACCTTTCTGAATAAGACAGACAGGTATAAGAAGAATTTCCCCTCATGTGCGGTCACCGCCATTTTTCTATTTCTTGACACAAGGTAACACCGACACACCAGAGGCCAAAAATTGTAGTCAATAATAGTTACTTTTGAATAATATGACCTAGCGTTTTGTAAAAGTGAAAATTTGTGCTCTGAATAAGTTCTTGAGTAAGAGTCAAAAAAGTACTCAATGAAAAGAATAATACTCAAGTACTGAATAATTGGTGAGTAACTTTTGATTTTTTTTTTTTTTTTATAAATCAGAGCATGAACGTCAAATAAACTAAAAATAATCCAATAAAATGTTATATTATTTTAATTTCCAGCACCATAAGCTCACCAAGACAAGGTTGCCATGGATCTAAAAAGTCTACACACCCCTGTTTCGATGGCTGATTTTTGTGACGATTAAAAAAAAAAAAAATTATATGAAACCAACGTAAACCATTTCTTAACATTTTCCACCTGCCAGAGGAGACAAGTGTTTATCTTTCAGGAGGCCCTGATTATGGCCAGCATGGAGCACCCTCACCTGGTGCGTCTGCTGGGTGTCTGCCTGAGTCCCACCATCCAGCTGGTGACGCAACTGATGCCCCACGGCTGCCTTCTCGACTACGTCTTCGAGCAGAAGGACAACATCGGATCGCAGCTGTTGCTCAACTGGTGTGTCCAGATTGCCAAGGTAAATGTGGAAAAAAAACCAGCTGTAGTACCTTAAGTTGAACTTGGTCCGGCTTCAGTTTGGTGGGTTGATGGATCGATCTTGGCTTGGAGTAAAATATTTGTTTATCAGTGATCATTGCGGTGCCAAATCATGTTTTTTTGTTGATTGTTCCAGTCATTGATTATTCACGTTCTAGTACAAACTTCTGTGATTCCGTCAAGAACTCGATCTTGACTGTTGTGCTAACTCAGCACAGATTATTAGAAATCATGTGTGAAAATGTGAAGAAACTTGAAGGAGAGTGACAAACTCAAATTTAACGACCGTATTTTCCGCTCTGTAAGGCGCCTTATAATCGTCAATATTCTGATTTCTTGATATCGTATTTTAAATGTTGTGTAAAGCGCTTTGTTACAGCCGCAGCTGTTGTGAAAGCTCTATATTAATAAAGCTGTATTGTATTGTATTCTCTTTAGTGTAGCTCCATCTAGTGGATGCATAACGCAACCGCAGCAAATATTGCAGCTTCTATTCTATGCACCTTATCATGTGGTACGCCCTATATATGAAAACAGTTTTATAATAAGCCATTCGTTGAGGGTGCGCCTTATACTACGAAGTGCCTTGTAGTACGGAAAATACCATACCTTAAAATTAATAATAATAAATATTTGGACCATGTGTGGACTGCCGTCGAGGTTGTTGGATGATGATGATGATGATGATGCACATTGTGATTATGTGGCCATCACTTTTGAATCATGCCAGTGTCTTCTTTAGGTTTTTGACCATTCCCCTTGATGTTTTATTAACTGTAACTCACTTCTCTCAAACAACAATTGCGTTCAGATCGGTGGCTTTTGATGTCGCTGTCCATAAAGATGGAAAGGTGAATGGAAAAAAAATAATGATTTGTTGCAGTCTCAATTTATTTTTCTCAAATGGTTCGGTTTCCAAGGTGGTTAAATGCGAGGCAGGCAGTAGCACCATGGTGACTTTCGACTGGGGAAATGCTAACCCATCAAACCACGTACTCACCATCACACCCTACTTTGTTACACCCCCACCCCCATGCTGTGCAACACAATTATTACACAGATCGCTATTTGGCAAAGTGAGTGAACACAGCTATACATGAATAAATATACTGTTTGCCTGCTGTGAACACTTGTTAACATGGAGATAGTAACAACACATGAAAGGCAGATGATTATGTATTATTTACACTTTTTTCTTCTGTCTTAAGAGTGAATTTTTCATTTGTTTTCAATAATGGCTTCAACTTCTGGGAGCCGAGGCCTATATTGTCCCACGGGCCTAAGCGGGAAAAGTTGCACAGTTGCACACTTTTCTGGCTGTGCGGATTCTCGCAGTCAGTTAAGTTGGCCATCGACGCACCTGCATGGCAATTATGCACTCGGTGGCCCCAAAATGTGGGCGGTCCCTGTCGAATCGGCCCTTGCGCACAGTCTCCTGTCGGCTCAAGCATTTTTCCTCTTTGGTGCGCCTGAGGCTGTCCCAGTATCTTTTTCATGGATTTCAATTACATTCACAAGTGGCTGGGAAAAGAAAAAAAAAAAACATTGCCTTGATTTGATGCCAACCGCAACGAAGAGTGAATTACGTCTCTTTGGTGGGTGCCTCTTAATACCCCATTGTACGTGCATTGGGTGGGTCAGAAGTCCGGATGGTTTTTGAAGACACATTCCCAAATGAAATGAAACCAAGGCACATTGTAGAATTGTCTTTGTGTTGGACTCTTGCATCAATTCTGTTTTGGTCCCACAATGTTATGCGGTCGGGTGTCTTCTAAGTGACAGAACTCCCTGTGCTTACCCCCACCCCCTCCACCCCCCCCCCCACCTCCTCTGTCACCAACACCGTATCTTCATAATGATCACCACCTCAAGAGATGTACTAATGAGCAGATTTATCAGCGCTGTGATGTCTGCATGCGTTATTTTATTCCGTTTTATCTTGCTTCGTCTCCTTTCTACTGTGTGCTTTAAAGCCTTGTCACCCTTTGCCTGTTCTGTTTGCTTGGCGCCAATGGGTTTTGGCATTAATTCATGACCTGTATATCTTTTTTTTAGCTTCTATTACCCTGTTTTTGATACTTGGTGGGACACATATGCCTTTATAACATACATTATATAACATGGGATAGATGTTTTCGAGTGCTGTGCAAGGGAACTACACCGTGAGTCCGTTTGTATTTTTGAATTGCCACGCCTGAGTAAGGCAACGCTTCACTCGCTGGATAAGTCGATAGCCATGCAACTGCCGCTGAGGGCAGGGCGGTTAATTGATCCGAACGATTTAGTTCACCATTTTTAATTGGCGGCCTCCAGAGTTCAAAAGCGTGTCTTCACTGACATGCACTGTTTGCACTAACAACATGGGTATGAACAGAGAGGTGACTTTTTCTACCACTTGAGTGATTATTACTCAAAAGAGCGATTAGCAACGTGGATTGCTGCTAAGAAAAAGATTAATCTTAATGTGATTTCCCCCCCCCCCTGTCCGGCACCTTTTGCTATAAGTTGCTTTGTTGGTATGGAAGTCCATCAACAGCAACGTATGGTCATCAAGAAAAAAAAAATTAACGTCATTCACATACTGTATGTCGTTTTGCTCACTTCCAAACACCCTCTCAAATATGTACACACACACACACACACACACACACACACACACACACACACACACACACACACCAAAGCTTGGTAAAGCAGCAGTGCCCAATTTTAGAATTATCTGTATTTGTATAACGGCCATACAAAATACTGAGCACACACGGCTATTTCCGTCCCTCAGCGGAAACGCACTCAATTCGTGTTTATCCTTCCTCTGAACATGTTCAGCTAAACTCTACTGGCTGGTGGAGACACGGTCTATGATCGTGATGAGTGATGGCAGTCGCGGAGTTGCAAACACTCTGGCGGATCAAACTGTATAGCGCACCCCGGCTCTCCACTAAATTCTCTTAATTGAGTTCTGCTCTCTGTGCACTCAGCTCCGAGGATTCCCCTCAACGGTAAGAAAAAAAAAGTGCAGAAAGAACCGCACATTAGTCCCGCGCTAACTTACTGCGGTGACGGTATGTTATTACACTTGCGACCATGGCAGCCACTGTATCTCCAGCCTTCAGTCTGTCACGTGTCTTTTCCAAACACACACATACACCCAACGGGCATCGAGGAAAGGTTTGACTACAACTAGCTTACAGGTACTCATATAAGGTGTGGGTATGTAAGCCTGTCAGTATCCACTTTAGATCTCCAAAATTGGGAGTTGTTAGTCATTTTAATGAGCGTCTTTGCTAGTGTTAGCCTTGAATTGAAAGTTCAACTTGAGCGTCTTTGCTAGCGTTAGCTTTGAATTGAAAGTTCAATTTGAGCGTCTTTGCTAGCGTTAGCTTTGAATTGAAAGTTCAACTCGAGCGTCTTTGCTAGCATGAGCTTTGAATTGAAAGTTCAACTTGAAATCGATTATATTTAGCGAGCTAAATGAAATAGCAAGCGCTGAACGATAAACCGGAGTGAGTATTCAGATTTTCAGTTGTCGCTTTCCTGTTTGCTGTCAAGTGTGCTTGTTGCTGTTATGCAAGTTAACATTGGCAAGCTTTTAGTTAGTTTTTGAAAGGAATAAAATTTCACGCAAAACACAACCTTCTCACTTATCTCGTATGGTAATATAACTGCACATTTCAATTCATTTTTAAAATGTGCGATACGTGAACTGTCTCCTTGAAAATTCATTTGGAGTGCCTCTTAGGAGGCTCTTTGCGCATGTGGCCAAGCACAACGTTTGCAAAGCTTCATTTTCAAGCCTATCTGAAAACTTTAAATGGTATCTTTTCAAAGCTTGCGGCTCTTTTCCAAATCCCCCATGTGACGCTTTGTCGAAGTGTCCGAGCTCAAGGTTGTTTTGGAGCGTATCGCTTAACAAATGACGTCAAACTATTGAGCAACATCCTGCTCAGTTTCTCAAATTGGCTGCTTGCTTTGGCATTGTTTAATTTTTCATTTTCTTTTTTTTTTTTTTTTTTTTTTTTTTTTAAACCAAAAACATTTCAAACTTAGATGAGCAAAGTTGGCCAGAAAGGTCTCATGCACTCCCACTCCTCCACCCAGGCACGTAGACAGCGACACATCCCAAGGCTCAGAGGAGGAAGCTGTAGAATATTTATTCTCTCTTCTTGACCTCAGCTTCTTCTCAACTCACCTGCAATATGAACACCTCGGCGGTCGATTCAGACATTCGCATTCATGCACAAAGCATTCTTTGCTAAGGCCTCAAAAGATGGAACAAATTCAGAATAAGCAAGCATTTTTTTTTTTTTGAGCTGTCCTCGATGACTCGAAGCAGTTCGGAGGAGGGACGGGAGACTAAATGTCCTTGATCGTCGTGTTGTATTGATGGCGTGATGCTCTGGAATATGTAGCGGATGTCACATGAGCACTTTATTGGGTTTTGCATCACTGTTCATAATGAAAACTGAAATCCATGCTGCAGTGGCTTCTGAAGATGTTCATTTGTAATATAAACAGATGCATTTTAGACTGTTCAGATGGTTGCTTTGTTTGGAAAGACAGCCCGTGTTTGTTTTGCCACTTTTCCCAATTTGCATAGGCAGCGGGACAATTCCGTTCCCATGCCTTGTATTTTTAGGAAAGTATATATATATATATATATATATATATATATACATGATGTTGTATATAAATATGTTGTAGCTCATTGCAATGCACTGCGCTCTACAGCAAGTGAAAGCTGCAGTGAGCAGAGTGCTTACAAGAAAACAAAAATGTGACCCAGAGTCATCTTTGTTCCCAGCTACCTCGAGCATCTTGAATAAGGTGTTGTGGCAAATACAAATATTCACTTGAGCACTGACAGATGACAACACAGACAGCAGGAATCATTCAAAATGAATAGATTTTTTGGGGGGGGGGCGTGGGGGGGTGAAATCACAAGACTGGTAGACTGCTGCTACACATTAAAAGTTTTTGGAG